CAATATAAGTAAGTAAAGTCAGGGTTAAAAAAATAACTGGCTCTTCTTGTCTTATTTTCTTTCTACTTTTACTGGAGTCATGAATGCCACGGAAATACTTTTTTCCTACTTTTACCACAAGAAGAGGAAGTATGCAGTGAACGTGTAAACATTAAATAGGGTGTGATATACCCCACATGACTGGGGAACTGGGTGAGCAACATTTAACAGTTGAGTGGAGAGGCCAGCAGGGACAGTGGGAACCAGCTCTAGCTGCTGCTACCAACTGTGAATGTCGACTCTGTTGTCACATCTTTCTTTCTCTCCCCTCCTTTCTCTTCACCCGAGATAATCTGGAAATAAGTATGTCCATATGTTTGCAAGAGGAAGCTAGCATATTAGCCAACAGTTTGGATCCTGAGCCAAGCTAAGATAGCCCTGATAGCTTAGTGAGTTTAATGTTGGATGTGGATCCTAGGTACTTATGGGACATTTGGGAGGAGAGGGCTAGCTTGGAGACACAGATTTCAGAAGCATGGCAGTGATATAGTGGAGGAAACTACAGGAATAGCTGAGCTGATTTAGGGAGAATTCATGAAACTGGATGAGAAGATTCTGGGTAATATCTGGCAAACATCCACATTTGAAAATGGGGGTCATTTAAAACTATTCATAAAGGAGGATTAGAAGGACTAGCCAGAAAAGAGAAGAATGAGGACATTGTAGTATCAAGGACTTTGAGGAAGGAAGAAGGGTTAAGGAGAGAGCCATCAACTATGTCAAATGTTGCAGAAACCTCAAGCCACTAGATTTAGCCAGAATATGTCACAGGCGGCACTACATTGAATAGAAAGTCAATGGTGCCCTGGTCTGTGCTCAGTTGGTTAGAGCATCATCCCAATAAGCCACGGTTGTGGGTTCAATCCTCAGTTAGAGTAATCCAGAAATCAACCAATGAATGCATAAATGAGTGGAACAACAAATCTCTCTTTCTCTCTCACTCGCTCTCTCTCCCTCTAAAATCAATCAATCAATCAATCAATAAAAAAGAAAGTCAATTGCATTTGGAGTCAAACCTGAATTTGGAATTTGGTTTTCCCATCTACTTAATGCATAACCTTGGACAGTAAAAGAAAAACTCTCAAAATCTTAGTTTACTCATTCATAAAAATGGGTAACACCTATATCTCAAAAAAGCCATAACAGCTATAGCACATGGCTTTTGTGAGAGTTTGTGGTAAGTAAAATAAAGATTCTGTCCTCAGGAGGCTTGTGTTCTAGTGGGAGAGTCAATAAAGGAGTACACAAATTAATATATAATTCAGGAAGTGATTAAAAAAAAGAATAAAGTAATATAAAGGCTTAGAGAGTAACTTGGGAGGGAGGATAGTTCCTATTTTAACTTGGTAGAGAGGTTGCCTCTGAGTAAATGACATCTGAAGTGAAATTTGAATGAAGAGAGAGGAAGATATTTGATGTTCTAAGTGAAGTATAAAGGTGGGGTGGTGGTAGGGGTAGTAGGTTTGGCCTGCTCCAATACATCAAGAAAGCCTATATGGGTAGAGTGGATTAGGAAAGCATAGGAGATGAGTGCAGAGAGGTGAGTTGGCCATAGAAGGAGATTAAAACATAAACAAAGACTAATATGGAGCCATTGGAGAGTGTTGAGCTTAGCGGCGATGTGTGAAGATTTACATATAAGACGTCCCTCTGATTTCTGTGCAGAGAATAAACGACAGTAGAAGCTGTTATAGGATGTTACTGCTGAGCCTGCAAGAGATGGTAGAGGCTTGGACAAGGCCGCAGTTGGGGAAATTTAGGCTATATTTCAAATGTAGATTCAACAATTGACGGACTGGATATGAAGTTTAAGGATTTGGCTTCTAGGTCTTTGGCTTACTCCACTGAATGAATGGGGTACCATTTCTTGAGAAGGTCAGACATGTTTAAAAGTGGGATTTCAAAAGCTGGAGTAAGAACATGAGTTCTGTCTGGGCATGGTAGGTTTGAGGGACCTATTAGATATCCAAGTGGAAAGTTAAGTAGGCTTTTGGGATTTTAGGGGAAAGCAGAAGCTAGAGAAATCAATCTTGGAGTAAAATATGGTTAGATATGACCACCCTGGGAGTCAGTATAGATAAGAGAATATCTATACTGTGTTTGAATTCTCCAAAGTTGACAGCAAAAATTCTCCAAAGTGATATGAATGAAACCAGGAGGTTGTAGCATGGGGACCTGGAGGCTATTTGAGAATGTGTTTTAACAGGGAAGAAGTAAACAACTGTGTCAGATGCTACAGAAAAGTTGAGTTTGTGGATTGTATCTGATCTTCAAGATCATTGGATTGGACCTTCAAGAGGAAAGCCATTTGAAACCTGGAAGCGAACAGTTATCCTGGATTCGTGGAAACAAAAACCTAATTGGAATGGATAGAGGAACAAAAGATAAAGAAATGGAGCCCGTAGGTCAAGTGTACTAAACTCTCAACATCTATAAGAGCCATCCAATCCCTAAAAGTTTTATGCAGAATTGTAAGAGTGGGTAACAAGCTGTGTTTTCTGGAAGAGAAGCCATGCCTTTCACTATGCATTTAAAGAACTGCAGCACAGTACCCCCACACCAGCAGGTCCAGTGGCTGGCCCAGAGCTGCCGACACTCTGAGACTAAGCTTGTGGCCAAGGAGATGGGACTTTCAGATATTAATAATAATAATAATAATAATAATAATAATAAGAAGAAGAAGAAGAAGAAGAAGAAGAAGAAGAAGAAGAAAAAGAAGAAGAAGAAGGAGGAGGAGGAGGAGGAGGAGGAGGAGGAGGAGAAGAAGAAGAAGAAGAAGAAGAAGAAGAAGAAGAAGAAGAAGAAGAAGAAGAAGAAGAAGGAGAGGAGGAGAAGAAGTGGAGGAGGTAGTAGAAAAGGAGGAGGTAGTAGAAAAGGAGGAGGAGGGGAAGAGGAGGAGGAAGAGGAAAAGAAAGTAGTTTGTTTTCCATAAGTAGAGTCCCTTTAAAACTTAACCTTAAAGAAAGTATTTTCGGCTTTGAAAGATTTTTATAACCTAAAATAGTACTTCTCTGCCACCTCTAGTGGATATTATTAAAATGCAGCCCAAGCATTCTCTATTTTATTTGAACATATTTGAAAAGGTTATAATATTTCCTATTCACATAGCCTGTCTTATAATCAAATATATACAATAAGAATAATACATTTGCTTAGCTGTCATAGCTTAGTGGTTGAGCTTTGACCTATGAACCAGGAGGTCATGGTTTGATTTCAGTGGGGGCCCATGCCTGGGTTGCAGTTTGATCCCCAGTTGGGGTGTGCGGGAGGCAGCAGATCAATGTTTCTCTCTCATCATTGATATTTCTGTCTCTCTCTCCTTCTCTCTTCCTCTCTGAAGTCAATAAAAATACATATATATTTAAAAAATATTAATTCAACATCCAAATAGTATATAAACCACACACACACACACAAATATATATATATATATATATATATATATATATATATATATATATATATATATATATAAAAGCCCAGCAACCGAATGGCAGAATGACCAGAACGACTGGTTGACCAGTCGCTATGACGTGCACTGACCACCGTGGGGGCAGATGCTCAATGCAGGTGCTGCCCCTTGGTGATGAGTGTGCTCCCACAGTGGGAACACCACTCAGCTGGCCGGGATGAGCAGCACTCCCACGGCGGGAGCAGCCGCTCAGAGGGCAGGTCCACAGCTGCTATGCTGACAGAGATGGGTTGTGCTCCCATAGGGAGCCGATCCCTGCAGGCCACACCCCCCACCAGTGCACAAATCAAATCCGTACACTGGGCCTCTATTAAATTTATAAGTATATAAATGAAAGTAAGCCCCAAATATAATTATATAGGTTACACCGTGTTTAACTACCAGGGAAATGGTATGCAGTCTTTGTTTCATGGAAACATGTTAGTGGGCACTCTCCATCCATTCACAGGAGTTCAAACTAGACTGTAACTCTCCTTCCAGATACCTTATGAACAAAATTGCCCACTTTACTAGTCTCTTCTGTAAGAATCAGTGAAATGGAAGACCTGAAAAGATGTTTCTTTGGCTGGTTTTTAAAAAGAAGGCAAATGTGTCAGGAGTCTGAAATTGTGCACATTGCGGCCTGCAGTGTCTGCTCTTAGAAATTTTTAGAGAATTCAGGCCTTTCCTGCCTGGTATTCAACAATCCTCAGAGTAATGTTTTCAATTATCTTATTTCTCCCAGCAATGCTGGTACCCAAGAGAGTTTCTATAAAAAACTGATGATTTCAAGGGCATGAAGCATGCAGCTAGTAATCAATGAGGAAGAACTGTGAAAATGAGGGGCTCCAGCAGTCTCAAAATTACATCTGTGAGGAATTCTGATTCTAGAGCATGTCTTTTCCCCAATGAACCACCAGTAGAAGCTCTCAATGCCATGTAACTCATACGCTATATGTATGTGCAATAAAACCTTGGATAAGTTGACTTATTTAAATGACTTAGATTCTTCTGGGTCAGTGATTTGCACAGCATGGCCCCTTGACCTGGGAACTTGATACAAATGCAAATTCTTCACCCCCACCCCAGACTTACTGAGCAGTTTCCAGCAATCTGCTTTTGATAGGCTCGTAGGTAATTGTGGTGGAATCTAATGTTGGGAACCACAGTTATTGGTCATACCTACAGTATACTGATAAATATCAAAGATGTTATTGTCCTTTTCAGGCGCTTGGTGAAAAATTCTGCTTGTCATTAAATAGAAATAACTTCAAAAAAATCTGAGATAGCAATGTAGATACTGATACTTATAATAGTAATTTTTTCTTCTAAATATAACAGCTTGTTTGGATATAGGCAAATAATTTATAAAATTACTTCAATAATTTCCTCAAAGAGCCATTTGTCTTTTGATAGTCATAATTTTATAATAAATAGTCATTCTGCAATCAAATAGGCAATTTCATATCCATTTCACAAATACTGTCCACTCATTTGTCACCGATATTACCTGCAGGTGGATTTTTAATGTGGCATTCATCTCTCTTAATATAGAGTTCTTCTTCCAGTACTTCCTTAATTCTCTTGTGTGGCTCACAATATAAAAATTTCTTCCCTATAAAGACATTAACAAAATTGGTTATGTACCATAAATTCTTCCCAATCTTCTAGCCATTACACTTATATGGGTAATTTTTTTTTAAAGACATATCCTTCTATACCAATGCAGATGATAAACCCTGTAGACTCTTTTTGGGGGGAGAAGATATGGTTTTTTTGTGACTTCAAACTGTTTTATAATTCCTGAACTTTTGGGTAGTTTAAGATACCTCTTTTAAGTATTATGTGGAAATACATGGAGATTTCTTCATTAGTTTCAAGAACACTTTTAGCCCTAGCTGGTTTGGTTCAGCCTGAAGACTGAAGGGTCCTGGATTCAATCTGGGTCAAGGGCATATACTAGTATTTCGGTTGCAGGTCCTCCCTGGCTGGGGTCCTGGTGAGGGCATGTGCAAGAGGCAACCAATCAATATTTCTCTCACATCAATATTTCTCTGTTTTTCCTTCTCTCTGAAAATTAATGAAAAAATATCCTTGGGTGAGAATTAAAATTAAAAAAAGAACACTTTCATTTGTTAAATAAAGTCCTATTAAAGACTTACTCTGTGCCAGGCATTTGGCTAGGGGCAAAGGACATAGCAATGAATAATTCAGATGTGTGCATGGAGTCTATAATCCAGATATATAAGAGAACAGCCTCAGCACTACTTAATCATCATTTTTAGAGACTGAACCTGTACTGTAGTAGTGAATCACTTATGGACCTATGACTTTGTCCTGGTCTCTAACCTGTCCCTATAGGACATCACTGCAATAGTGGGGAACTGTGTTGTTTGTTTGAAGTACCTTAGCTATATTTTTTTCAGCTCTGTGCTATCTGACCCTGTCTGTCTCCTCAGTCTCTCCTGTCAGCCTTTCATGTTACAGTTCTCTGAGCTGTAACATGGCCTTCTTGCTTTGTCCCCACATCTATTTTTTCTGCCTAAAGCGTGGTTCTCCTAGTATTTTTGCACAGGGAACTTGTATTCAAATTTCAGGTGTAGCCTTAAATTTTTCTTTTTTCTTTTTTTTTATATAAATATTTATTGATTTTTTACAGAGAGGAAGGGAGAGAGATAGAGAATTAGAAACATCGATGAGAGAGAGTCATCAATCAGTTGCCTTTTGCACACCCCCTATTGGGGATATGCCTGCAACCAAGGAACATGCCCTGACTGGAATCGAACCTGGGACCCTTTAGTCCGCAGGCTGACGCTCTATCCACTGAGCCAAACCGGTTTCAGCAAATTTTTCTTTAAAAAATATTTTTATTGACTTCAGAGAGGAAAGGACAGGGAGAGAGAGATAGAAGCAACAATGATGAGAAAGAATCATTGATTGGCTACTTCCTGTACACCCCCTTCTGGGGATTGAGCCTGCAACCCTGGCATATGCCCTGACCAGGAATTGAACTGTGACCTCCTGATTAATAGGTTAGTGCTCAACCACTGAGCCACACCGGCTAGGCAAATTTCAGTTCTTTAGCAAAACCTTACCTGACTCCACAATCTCAAAATGCTCCTGGTTATTTCTCCTCGTAGCATCTCCTCTTTCTTTAATTTCATTTATTGCAATTTATATATGGCTTTATATACTTTACATACAATTACTTATATAACTAGTAACATATCTTCCTTACCAGACCATTAATACCCTAACCTAAAAGCAGGGATGTCTATTTAGTCAGAGCTTGGTATAATAACAGATGTTTAGCAAAGGCATACTCAAATAGAATCAAACATTGTTCAATTAGATAGAGCTCGCCCTGGTCAGTTTGGCTCACTGGATAGGGCATTGGCCTGGGGACTGAAGAGTCCTGGATTTGATTCCGGTCAAGGGCCACATGGCTGAGTTACGGGCTGCATCCCCAGCAGGAGGTGTGTAGGAGGCAGCTGATCAGTGATTCTCTCTCATCATTGATGTTTCTATCTTCCTCTCCTTCTCCCTTCGTCTCTAAGAGCAATAAAAAAATATATTTTTAAAAATTGGATAGAGCTCAAGACTATTCTCCATGCATGTCTGCCAATGCAGCCTTGTGAATGTCAGGGAACCAGTAATTCTATTGGGTAGGTAGTCTATTTTATGGAAAGGTCTGTACCCTATGGGTAGGTATTAATAGTCTCAACACAAAGAACCATGGAACACCTAAACAATAAAATACTTTAGCTATTTAATAGCTGGCTTTAAACTCACAAAGATATGGCAGGTGCATCATATTTTCCAAACTAACCAATGGAGAACATAAGTGAATAAGGGTGGCTTATGTGCAGACTGGCCCAAATGGGGCAAGAGACCTGTTGCTTCTGGCCGTGGCCCTGGGTCAGGCCTGGTCATGAAGACCCCACACACCCTTAGACAAGGACAAGGTCGAGATACCTTCTGCATCTCATTGTCTCCCCAAGGCTAACAGTCATAGGAATGAGATGGGATCAGCATTACTCCAGCTTAACTCTGGTTTACTCTTTTTTTGGTTAAAATTTAGGCAGAAAAGCTTTTAAGAAATGTAGCTAAGAAGGAAGAAAAACCTAAAACAAGTTAGTAAAGAGGAAGAGACCACCTGTCCTAAGTTCAAGTCTCTTGACAAATTTCAGCCCAGCTGCTAGAAGAATTTATAGAGGAAATCACTAAGGTTTTGAGGAGCTACTATAGGCAAATATTCCCTGACCCCAAAAAGAAATGAAGGAAGGAAGGAAGGAAGGAAGCGAGAGAGGGAGGAAGGAAAGAAGGAAGTGAGAGAGGGAGGGAGGGAGAGAAAAATTAAAAATTAGCAGCAGTTTAATGTCAATCTTCACCAACATTTTGAATGAATTGGTCAACAGATTGATTGTGAGTACATTGAAGAGCTGTGATTACTGTGCTAAGGACTGCTGAAAGCAACATTATTCCAGACTAAACTGTTTTGTTTTTTATTAGGAGTTAATAACAATTGCTATAATTTATTGAATGCTACCATGCCTTAAGTATCTTACATACTTTATATTCTCTCTTTCTCACTATCACCCTATGGGTAGGTATAATTATTCCTATCTTATAGGTGAAAAAGTAACTTCCAAAAGTCACAAAATGTCATCAAAAAAATTAAAAGTCTTGCACACCGAATTCCTCCCAACCCAAGTTACTAACCAAGCTAGATTAGAGAGATGTAGCCACAACGTATCTGCATTTCAACAAGGCATTTGATACAGTGCATTTGTAGGAGACACAATGCGCATGTATGAGACACTGATTGACAGCTGAGGGGCTTCTAGAGGCTCTTCGTGGAATTGTTGAATCACCATCTAATTTGCTCACTTGGATGTAGAAAATGCCAGCAAACTAACCAAATGTGAGAATGGCACAAACTTGGTAAAGGGCAAACTTTCAGGACTCAAAGAGCTACTTCTATACCTGGAATGAAGTGATAAAATCCACAGGATGGTACAGGGGGATAACTATACCAACTTGTATTTAGGAATTATGGATGTCATAGACTGCACTTGTTAAATGTGTTAATAGTATAAAATGTCTGCCAAAACAGCTAAGGCAATTTTGGACCCATTTAATAGGAGTGTCGTGTTCAGATCTAAGGAGGATATAGTCCCACCAGACTATTCTAATCTGATCATACCTAGAATACTGGATTCAGTGATTTAGTAAACTGGAGAAGATTGGAAGAGGTTAACCATCATGGTGTGTGGGCTACAAATTATTTTAAAGGTAACATTGAGTCTATGAAAGATTTGATAGGTGCTCAAATTAACCTTTATACAATTCAAGGATGAAATTATATCACTTTAATGGGAATTTGGACCATACTCTATCTGTGTATATTTGAGAACAGATCCCTGATTAGGGAGTTTAAGCTGTAGAAAGACTGCAGACCTTTCCATAAAATAGACTAAAAACATTTGAAAATTGACTGAGTATTTTGTGTGAGTGTGAACAGCCTGTCTCTACTTAGGCTGAGGCCCTAAAAGGAGGTTTTGGGGGAGGTTAAGGAGGGAACTCTAAATGACTCTGCGATCTACAGAAAGTTTAGACTCCTGCCTCAATTCATTACTCACTTCTCTGCAACTTTCATGCCCAATGCCTGGCATGAAGTAAGGACTCAGTATTTGTTGAGTTGATGAGTGAATGGTTAATTCTACCTTTTACACCTACTGCCATGGGAATAAAGAACCTTTACATTCTAGCATCTTTAATGAGAAAAGTCCTAGATGAGAATTTTGTCAAAATAAGGAATTACTTAAATATACTAAAATACTTTCATATACTGAATTACGTTGCTTTAAGGCCTCTGCATGCATAATCAGTCATACTGGAAGTGATGCTGAGGGAAGAGGCCCTTTCACCAGGAGGCAGAGGTTTGGGGGCTTCTTGATGAGGTAGGTCTTGCGGGAGGACTGGAGTGTGATCCCTCCCCCCCTCACCCGCTCCCCCCTCCCCCCGCGGGAGACTGAGCCTCTTCAGCCCAACCCTCCCTCCAGGGACAGCTGAGCTGGGAGGTAGCTGCGGAACGGAGACAGCTCTCCAGAGACCCAACAAGGCAACGCTGCAGAAGGGCTGGAGACCGCTGGGATTCCCACCTCTCTGGCTTATTATCTTCCCCATCATCATTCCTGTACATCCATGGAACAGTATGGATGAGCATTGCGACCTGGCGCGGACAGACTCCAGATAACCACAGCGTGGGCTGTGACTGTGGCCCAGAACTGCCTTTTGTGCGTTTGGGAGGGAGGGCAGGGAGGAGACAGCAGGGTAAAAAGTGGCCCAAAGTTGTGAGATTTTAAAAGGATTCGGTAATAATTTATGGACCGAAAGCCCAAGAGACGAGTTCACATGTTTGAAGTATTTCTCCAGCCCTGGCTGAGTGACCGTGGGAGAGTCGCTTCCTTTCCTCCAGGCTAGACCTCAGGTTCCTGGTCTGTAAACGGAAGGAACTGGCCAACATGATCTACATGTTTCCGTGAATATTGATCTACAATATTCCGAAATATTATTTATATTACATATAACATTTTTAAAATATATATTTTA